GGTGGTGGCAGGAGCCTCTCACACCTACGCTGCAGGCGGGCAGTAAGGAGCGAGGGGTCCCAGACTATGAGAGGGATGTCTGACTGCCAGCTTAGGCCCAATCCCCACTATAAAAATTACATTTCTTTGATTATAGTATACTAGAGGCCCAGTGCACGAATTTTGTACACTCAGGGTGGGGGGGGGGGGTCCCCCTCAGCCTAGCCTGAGCCCTCTCGCAGTCCAGGAGTCCTTGGGGGATGTCTGACTGATTGCTTAGGCCCGTTCCCCATGGAGAACGGGCCTAAGCTGGCAGTTAGACATCCTTAGCGCTGCTGCAGAGGCAGGAGAGGTTCCCGCCACCACTGCTGCACTCACCAGCCATGAGCCCGGCTCAGGGCTTCTGGCTGAGCAGCACTCCCCCTGTGGGAGTGCACTGACCACCAATGGGCAGCTCCTGCATTGAGCGTCTTCCCCCTGGTGGTCAGTGCACGCAATAGCGACCAGTCGTTCCGCCATTCAGTCAATTTGCATATTAGCCTTTTGTTATATAGGATACCTAAATAGAGTTGATAAAAAAAAAAAAGACACTCTGTTAAGTGGATCCTGGGAACAACTACCAACATTACAATTTCAATGACAAGTGGAGTGGTTTACACGTTAAGCACCCTGTCAGTCACCGGTGACTGACACTATACTTTCCGTCCGGAAGACAAAACAGGCTGGGCGCCTAATGTATTAATGGAAACTTGCACCACTTATTATAAAGGGTGAAGTGGATCTATCCATCTAAGTCCTGCTTGAATATGAATTTATTTTTCCAAAATGTTCTCTGGTTATCTATCTGTAAGACACTTCATTTTTTTTAAGAGTTCTTTATTAATCATCTCATATAAAATTTGCACCATCACAACAGATAAAGTCCCTAAATCAGGGGTTCTCAACCTGTGGGTCGCAACCCCTTTGGGGGTCGAACGACCCTTTCACAGGAGTCGCCTATGACCATCGGAAAACACAACAATTCCTCAACCTTTCTTTGTCTCTCATTACACTGGCAGAATATACTGTGGTATTTTATAGAATGCTACTAAATTTGTGCTTCTCTTACTTTTCTTGAAGATTAGATTCTGATTTTTCATCCCCAGCCAAAATACTACAAAAGTGATAGTATATCCTCTTCAGGGTATCACAGCTGGAGGTATACAAGGTCTGTCTGTTCTCATTGGTGTTACTAATTTTCATCACCACTGAAGGTGTTTTCTGGGTGTTTTTTTTCCCAATGTACATAGTTATAGTTACTGCTCCTACCTTGTATCTAAGAAGCCATCTGTGGAAAGATACTTTTAAATGTAAATATCCTGCTCATCAAACTTTCCCCCTAAATTTGGCAACCAATGAAGAATCGAGCCCAAAACAATCTTCACTATGATGATTACAAAATGGTATTTGCCAACTCTGCCATTCATTTCACATTTATCAGTCAGCATTCTGCTATAAGGAAAAAGCCCCATCCATCCCTCATCTATCATGGAAATCATGAATTCCTTTTTTATTTGATGGATTATAATCCATTACTATCTTTAGATTGATGCTCAGACTGTTCCAGATTTGGACAGTGAGAGGAGCCCCTTCAAACTGGTTCCAGTATCCATTTGACAGACCCCTTCTTTTTTTTTTTAAAAACTTTCTGTCACAAGATGTTCTAAGGCTTATCTTTTATGTTCCCTGCCCCCACAAGAGAATGAGCCATTCCTCCAAGGAGCTCTTGTTCCTTTCAGTGAGAAATTCAAGACCTGAGTGCTAAGTTGGGTGTCACTGTAACTACAATCTTGCAGCAGATAGAGTTAATTAATTAGTTATTAGTTCCTCTAATTCCTATCCAATCCCATAGGGTTCTTTCTTACCTTCCCTATCAGTGGATTTAGGCTATAACAATTATTTCCCTTAGTCCTGATACACTTAAGAAAAGGCATTCCTATTATTATTTTTTAAAATATATTTTTGCTGATTTCAGAGAGAGGGAGAGGGAGATAGGGATAGAAACATAAATGATGAGAGAGAAAGAATCATTGATTGGCTGCCTCCTGCACACCCTACACTAGGGAATTGAGCCCGCAACCCTGGCAAGTGCCCTGACTAAGAATTGAACCGTGATCTCCTGGTTCAGAGGTTGATGCTCAAACACTGAGTCACGCCAACTCAAGGTGTTTTCTGGGTGTTTTTTCCCCAATATACATAGTTATAGTTATTGCTCCTACCTTGTATCTAAGAAGCCATCTGTGGAAAGATACTTTTAAATGTAAATATCCTCTATTCTTGTTATATATGTATATTTGTGTGTGTGTGCGTGTGTGTGTGTGTGTGTGTGTGTGTGTGTGAGAGAGAGAGAGAGACAGAGAGAGAGATTCCTACTGATACTTCCAATTCCAATCCAACACCACAGGGTTATTTCCAGCCTTCCCCCTTTCCTTATTTACAAATAAGGAATTTGCTTCTTTCTTAGACAGTAAGAAAATGGATTCTCACTATCTACAATACATTTACATATTTATTCAAATCCACTATATATATTAGCTTCACAACTACCATACCATATCACTATGAAAAATAAAGTAACGAGTTTCTTTCATCTTTAGTCTTAGGAGTATTCAGCCAAAATGTTTATTGTTTCCAAAATAACTTAAGGTTAGTTCTTTTCCTCCCACCCCCTTCTGTGTATTTATGTTATTTATAATACAGTTGGGTTCATTAATTTCCGTCTGTATTCCATTTGGGTTTCCTTATATAATAGCTTTTATTTTCAAATGAACATTAATGAACTTCAGTAAAATTCTTTCTGTGGTGTACACATTGAAGTAGATCACGTTTTTCTGGCAATTATTAATAAAATTACCATAAATATTCAGGTATAGGATTTTGTGTGAACTTGAGTTTTAATTTCTCTTGGATTAATACTAGGAGTGGGAATACTGGGTCATATAATAATGGTATATTCAACGTTATTTAAAAACTGCCAAACTGTTTTCCACAATGGCAAGACCATTTTTCATCCCCACCAGTAATAATTATTTGCAATTGCTCCACATACTCCCTAGCATTAGATACTGCCTGTGCATATTTCTTTCTTCTTGTCTTTATTTTTAAGCAATTCTAATAGGTTTTTAGTGATATCTCATTGTGGTATTAATTTATTTCCCTAAGGACAAATGATATTGACCATCTTTTCATATTTTTTGACCAACCATATTATTATTATTATTGTTATTATTGTTATTATTTTGGTGTAGACCTTTTGCTTAATTTTTACTGGGTTACTTTCTTATCACTGAGTTTTGAAAGTCCTTTATATATTTAGATATGTTACTTGCAAATATATTCTGCCAGTCTGTAGCTTTCCTTTTCTTCTCTTAACAGTATCTTTCAGAGAGCAAAAGTTTTAAAATTTTATAAAGTTCAATTTATAAACTGTCTTTTATGGATAATGCTTTTGATATCCTACTTATGAACTCATTGCATAATACAGGGTAATAAAGATTTGATTTTTTTCTATATTTTATCCCAGAAGATTTATAGTATTATGCTTTACATTTAGAAATATGGTCCACTTTCCATTAGTTTTTGTAGAAGGTGTGAGACAGAGTTTATTTTTATGT